ATATTACATAGTATTTAAATGAAAGTTCAAGATACTAAACCGATCAAGTTTCGTAGATATCGTATAATTTTTTATGAAAACCAGATAACCCGACGTTTGTTGAATAATATCAAGCTTTACAGAACAAGAGGCAGAAATAAAGAAAAGATTATATAGAACGGTTAACCTTGTGATATACATTTACATGATCGTGATTTGAGATTTGAATCGTAATTGAAATGAACTTGCGCGATTGTCATCATAGCATACGCGCGGCTGTCATTCGTTGTCAAATTGAGTTCGTAACAAAAATTCAAACAAATTTCTACGTCTATTATTTCCTTAATGCAGTGAAACAATCATTTCCGACATAGCGGTATCAAAATCGAAGTGATCGCGGTAGCAACCTGGTTGCTAAATAAATTTGGTAATGGAGTGTCCCGTGTCGTTCGATTATAAAGGGAAAACTATAGAGCGGCTTCCAGTCGTGCGCGTGGATAATAGTACCGGGTGCACGCGCCACCTCCATGTTGCGTAAGGCCAGAATTGGCCCGTCAAAAATGTTAAGCTACGGCAGAGTTATAGGACGATTGCCAAAACTTACCAGGCATTCGCACGCTAATCATTTCTGTCGACCTTTAAAGTACGTTGGTAAGTACAGGACACGCTTTCACACGCGAGATAATGAGGACGTTTTAAGACACAGAAACGTTTCTTCTGTTTTTCATCATCTCCCGTGTTTTCCAGTTAACTGTTTAATTGATTCGCGCCTCGATATTTAAATCGGAATAGTTAACAGATTAATTCTACGATTACACGTTCCCGACTTTGTGATCACACTTTTTTATTGATACTCTGTTTTATTCGCGTATCTGCACGTTCAGCCGAAAGAACACCACGCGATATAACCTCGAAATGCAGAGATAACATTTCCGAATGCTGTCACTGATTAAAGTAATTTAATGATCTTCTTATATTATTTCCTATCACACGTGTCTTTCGGTTTTAAATAAAATCATTAATAGTTTTATTTATACTTGCACAATTTCGTATAATTATCACTTTTTATCTGTTTGTTATTTTAATTATTGTTAATGAATATTTAATTATTCTAGGCATTGTCAGTGTTCATAATTTGTGGTACAGTAGCAGTTCAAATGACAAGAAAATATATAGAGCTCCAGGAACCACCATAAAACCTGAAGAATGTGTACCTGAAAGTACGTATTCTAAACCAAAGAGACCTGTCCCTTTTTGTGAATCTCAGCCTAATGCATCTTGTCCACCGTCTTGTTATGAAGTTTGTGGGAAACCAGATGATTCTGAAAAACCAAGCGATAAGAAGCCACCTCCACAACATTGGAAGATATTGGCAACTCTTCTCATAGCTGGAGTCACATTGTACGCGGTGTGTACATAATAATTTTGTTAATTTTATTGAATGTTTTATTCTGTGTAAAAATCCTCAGTCCAACTTTGAAACAATTTTTTTTATTTTTTTTTTATTTTTGTAACATTCTTATTTAACAATCATTTAGATATCTTCCTCGAGTTGGTTTTCCACAAAGAAATCAGATTCTCAGAAGGCTGTAAGTAAGAGTAAGTTGAACAATAACTTCTGATCATAAAATATTTTCTCATTTGTAAGACAGTATAATCTTAATACATTTTAATGCGTTGCCAGGTAAAAAGGATGAAAAGAAACGGAAAAGGGCACTGGATAAAATTAAAACGCCGCCTACTTCTAACTTAATTCCTTCAGAAATTCCTTACCTCTTAATAGGAGGAGGAACAGCTGCATTTTCTGCATTTAGGTCTATTAAATCTAGAGATCCTAGAGCTAAGGTACATCGCGGTTTTCATATTCATGTTATTGAATGAGAATATTAAATCTATTTGCTTTAGGTTTTAGTAATATCGGATGAAGGAGACTTGCCATACATGAGACCACCATTATCTAAGGAACTTTGGTATAATAGAGATAGGAAAACAACTGCGCAATTACTTTTTAAGCAGTGGAATGGTGCTCAAAGAAGGTGAGTCAGGAAAATGGGATAATAATCAAATAAGCATTCATCCCGTCCCGACGGGTCCATCATCGGATCCTTGCACACCTCTATTGATCATATTAATAAAATAATTTATTATCTTGTTAAATAATCGATTGTTCGTTATACTTTCAGTGTGTTTTATGAACCGCCTGAGTTTTATACACAAATTAAAAGTTTGAGTAATTCTGAGAAAGGTGGTGTGTCTGTAGCGACGGGTTGGAGAGTTAAAAAAATTGATGTTCCAAATAAACTTGTGATACTCGACGATGGTTATCAAATAAAATATGATAAATGTCTTATCGCGACTGGTAAGCATTTACTACTGGAAATTCAGAATTATATAGGATTTTATTAACAATGTGTGCGCAGGTGCGTCGCCTAAAAATCTTCCAGTGTTTGAAACGATGCAAGATGAACTCAAAGAGAAAATTATAACGTTTAGAACGAAGCATGATTTTCTTTATCTGGAAGATATTGTGCATAATCCTAAGTGTAAGAATGTAGTAATAATTGGAGGAGGATTCCTTGGCTCAGAACTTGCTTGCTCACTCGCTCGTAATTGTAGGTATTTACTCAATTTTATTATACACATTTAATCTTCTTATTAGTCGTAAAAGAATTGTGTTTTTATCCAGTAAGCGGAGATAAAAAGGTGTATCAAGTGTATAAGGAGAAATTTATAATGGATCAAGTATTGCCACAGTACCTAAGCGAATGGGCAACGAAGAAAGCAATCTCCGAGGGTGTTCAATGTATTTCTAGTTCCGAAGTAGAGGATTATTCGTATAAAAATGGGAAATTGTCTCTTGTCCTTTCGGATAATCAAATTGTACATTCTGTTTCTTTGCAATACTAAGTGTTGCGTCGAATAATCATGTACTGATTTATTTTTATTTATTATTTCGTTAAGGTCGATGCTGATCAAGTGATTGTAGCAGTGGGCGTTGAACCGAACACTGACTTGGCACACGTCTCGCAATTAGAAACGGATCATGAGATAGGTGGTTTCCTTGTCAACGCGGAATTAGAAGCGAGGAGCAATTTATGGGTTGCCGGAGATGCAGCTTGTTTCTATGATGTCAAACTTGGTAGAAGAAGAGTGGAACATCACGATCATGCTGTAGTTTCAGGGAGATTAGCAGGAGAAAACATGACTGGTGCAAGTAAGTTGAAACTTGTGGAATATAAGCAAATTAATATGAACTGGTATTCATATTTCTGTATTGATTAGGAAAGCCGTATCTGCATCAATCAATGTTTTGGTCCGACTTGGGGCCAGAAGTTGGATACGAAGCGATTGGAATTGTGGATTCGTCACTGCCGACTGTTGGTGTTTTTGTAAAATCGTCCGAGTCTGATAATAAAGTACAATCCGTCAGGAATACACATGAGACTACACAAGTCTCAGATAAAAAGGTAATGAAATTTGTTACGATTCAATTTAATTACGATTGCAATTGATTTTTATATGGTCTCGTAATGCAGACACTAAATTTGTTGCATACGCAGAATTCACGATCAAGCCCGCAAGGAGATGCTAAATCGGAAAGTGATGATACAAAAGTATGCAGAGACGATGATCCAAAACCTGCGGATAAGCCTGAGGTGTATGATGATTTTGGAAAGGGAGTCGTTTTTTATTTACGCGATGATATCGTGGTCGGGATAGTTCTTTGGAATATTTTCAATCGAATGCCAGTCGCCAGACAGGTACGTCGTAAAAGAAGAAACAAACAAACAAAGTTCATCTTTTGCTAATTGATCATTATAAAATACATGATGTACGATCTGTTACAGGTTCTCGCCAGGGGTACAAAATATGATGATCTAAACGAGGTAGCAAAACTTTTTACTATTCACGACGACTGATCCTATTAACGCAATAATTTCCATGACCACATGGTGTCATTACTGTACATAAGGTTTATTTATCTATCCATCAAGTTCCAAAATATTTTACAAATAAAAAAAATCTGCAAACCGATTTCTCATCCCTAAGTTCGAAAGGTACGATTTGTATAAATATTGCACATACCACGTACAAAGTATTTTCAACAATAAAAAATCTATACATAAGAGCATTCATACGATACGCGAATGAAATATGTTTATTGAACTATTATTAGATGTGGATTTTATTAGCAAATAAATGAACAGTTGTTTTATTAGTTATTTAATCGAAATATAATATTATTTTCACTTTTCTAAATGTACATATGCATGCAGTATTTATTTCTATACATGTTGGCATTACGTACAGCATGTAATGAATATTTCACAAATTATTATTATCATTATTTAACAGATCTCTATACACATTTACATAATTTTTGCCGCTACTTCGCTAATGTAATGAGTATTTATTAAAACAATGCAATTCTTCATTTTTGATATAACAAAAATAGATCTTTATTTAACTGAACCCTTTGAGCGCGAATTTCGGCAAAATTTTATTCCCGTATCTCTTATCTAACATATCCATAAACTTAAAGTAATGATGACATCGATAATCTTCGAAGTCCTATAAAATAACATTCCAAACATAGTATGTATTGAAGAACATCAAACACATTGTATACGTACTATGTAGTCGGGCCATATCCTTCTAGCTGTTACATTTTCCATAATTGCACGTTGACAATGATTTAATAGCGATGCGCAGTAGTATATTATATAATCAGGTGAAAACAATACGCAAACAGCGATAAAATGTTTAATTTCCGACCATGGTAGAAAACCCCAGAAACATTGCAGTACCATTGAATTACATATCAGAGACCAATTCATTCCAGAGGTACTCTGCAATCAAACAAAAATGATTCTAGTTTAGTTTATTTGATTTTGATTAAGCATATCTAAGTTCAGTTTGCATTTACCTTGAGGGCAAATTTAGTATGTGCAAGCTCGGTGCTGACGATGCTCTCTAGGAGTTGCATGAACGTAAATTGTATACCACATTCCTCCCTAGTGTACTTGTCCACCACTTTTCCCAAATTAGGCCACAGGAACATCGTTATCGGGAATTGAATCAATTGCGTGATAAACGTCTTGCATCTGCAAATTTTAAACTATCATCGCTAGACTGCGGACTTTTATTCAAAATGAAACATTTATGGTACTAATTATAAAAATACGTCTCTTTGATCGTTTTTAAATATTGTGATGTACAGTCGGCTTTTAGTATTTATATTTACGTAGCAAGCAATTTTTCTATAAATTCATCAAATCCCTAATCTAATCATAACTGGTGATTAAAAGGTCGATGATGATTAACGATTATCTCATACGCATTGTTATTACGATGGTGACCAAGTTTTCAACCTGAGACCTGCCAGTGATGATACTTTGACTAGCTAGAGTTACCCGTACTCATACCAGCAATATTGGAATCGTTTCGTTGACAAATTTTTGTGACTGAAAATGATGTTAACGAGACGCGTTTCGAATTTGCTAGTAGGGGTGAATTCGCGGTCAACTGAGGCAATTTTTTATAATTTA